TGGAACTAAGCTAAGCTCTCTTGCTTCTAATTCTTTGTGGTAGGCACTAACATCTTTCATGTTTCTGATTGCTTTCTCTGTCCTCTTGACTTTCTCCTCATATTGTGAATAATTAATGAGGCTATTCTTTGGGTTTGAGTGGGATGCCCCAGGGTATGTTATCTTTCTCGACTCTTCAATCTGATAGCACGATTTCTCTATAGCAGTTGTATCTTCTTTATCAGATTCCATTCCCTGGATAATTTGATCTGATCCATCTGGTACTGAATCTGAAACTTCTTTCCTTGTATCCCGAGGTAACCCTGTCAATGATTCTGGCCAATGGTCTTGTAGTCCTTCATAAGATTGCTCCATTGTTTTCATGATGATGGTACAGTAAAATAAATGAATGATCTTGGTTTTTACTGTTACAGAAACCTTTCATGAATTATTTATATGTTTTTATAATTAAAGTACATGACAGTACTTAAATAAAAATGTGAAAATTGCATAAATGGAAAAATAAGAATGCAAAATGTGCAATTCAAAGATATAAAAATACAAAATGAAAATGCACAAATACAAAATGTAAATGCATGTATAAAAAGGTGTTACTTAAGAGTGATCATCTTATAATAGATTTCATTGAACACAAAAGCTTCAGTACATCAAACAAAACTTTTACATGTAGGGGACAACTTTTAATCCTAACTTCAACAAAACTTTACATATAGGGAATAACTTTCCCATTTTCTTCTCTAAAACCAAGTTAGATTATCAGCTTATGGGCCATATTGCTTGTCTGGACTGCAGCTTCTTTCATGACATTCTGGGGTTCTTTCATCTCCTATGTTAATTCTTGGAGTTGATCATTTTCCTTTGCGAGAGAACATTTGTGTTCAAAAAGTTTTTGGAGAAGATCTTCATGTATGCTGCAACTCTTTTTCAGTTTAGTGACCCCTGATATCCACTCTTCTGGGGTGTTTCCTATACCAGCATTTTGAAAAGCTTGACTGACCTTCTGGAAGTCTTCATGTATGGTTTCCATTTTGGTGCTCAATTTATCATTTTCAATCTTCAAATGACGTATTTGAGCTTCAAACCTCAGCAAATCAATCTCTCTGGGCGCCCCTACTGATATTCTTACCTTTGAAGACTTTTGGTATTAATCTATCAGGACCCTTAGTTACCAAACTAGGTCGATCATTTACCATAAATTGTAAGGTTCTATGATCCAAAAGACTTTGGACTCGGCGTTTGAAGGCAAGACAATTCTCGATGGTATGTCCTTGAGCTCCGGCATGATATTCACAATGAACGTTGATGTCATACCAATTTGGATACGGAGGTTGGAACAGTTTTATATAATATGGATCCACTTCTTGTGCTTCAAATAGCTTATCATACAACTCTTTATATGATATGGGGATAGTATCAAGATGAGAGCCACCTTTTGTCTTGGATTGAACCTGAGTTTTAGACATCGGGAGCAGACCAAACTTTGATGATTTCTGATTACATGATTTCTTCTCTTCTCTGGGAGCTTGTACGGTTGTCACCATTTCTTTGGTATCTCCATACGATTTGTGAATACGAATGATGACTGTCTGTAATTTCTCTAATTGGTTAGGAATCGAAATCCCTTGCGTATCTGAAACTGCAGAGTTAGGTTCATTGAGCTCTCTCTCTTTCTGTGCTAGAATCTCTTTTCCTTTGGCCAACACAGATATTCTATCCATCATCTTGGACATCTGCTCTCTTATTTCTCGTATCTCCTCTTGCTCCTTAATGGTCATACGATCTTTGGGTGCATAGCTTGCTTCTATCCTCGGAGTTTCCTCAGAATGTCTTTCTTTGGCCGCATCATATTTTGTTTGATCATAAAACTTTTTGTCCATTTACGATTTCTTTCCAATATGATGAACAGTCTTTCAAGTAAACACCTTTTGGTTATGCTATGATCATGCAATGCAAACAAAAGAAATGAGAATAAAATAGTTAGTACCAACTAATGAAAAAAAATCTATCTATCAAGGTATAAATCTTAACCTCATGCTTTCTAGTTCCATGCTTTGTTTGGAAAATTTAACCTAACCGCATGATTTTTAGTTCGCAGGCATTTATTCAGAAAAAATAATAAATTAAAAAATTAAAAGCTAAAGCTTATTTCTCCTTTGTGTACACCTAAGGACAGAGGTTTAGATCAGGAGAAGTTCTAAGGTTTATTACATGCATGGTTTCAGTTCTAGGAGTAAAGGTACTCGAATTGTCCTTGTTGATGCCCCTTTGGGCTATCAACCCTCAATCCTAATCCATTACAGACTTAAATGGATCGAGTTCAATTCGAGAGGACACATTTCTCTATACCTGACACGGAGAATAAATTCTCACGAAGACATAGAGCATATGAACCCCGAAAGTTACTTGCTAGGTCTGACACGGAGAATAAATTCTCACGAAGACGTCGCTTTCACTCTCACTTAAAAGGGACAAACTCAATTATAGAGCTTTATGTTATGCAATGCAAGTGTTGTGTGTGAGGAGAAATGTTCAAACCTCTAACAAATAAATAATAAAATTTAATATTTGAATATAAAGCATTAAATAACATATAAATATTATGAAAATAATAAGTATATATAAAAATTTTGAAAAGAAAGAATTAAAAATTAAATGTATGAATTTTTAATTTTTAATTAATAAAGACAATTTATAATTGATTTCAAAGCATGACTTGGTCCCCAGCGGAGTCGCCAAGCTGTCGTAACCGGTTTTCGTCCGGGCACGAAATATTTATTTTGGCGGGGAAATTGATGTGAATAAATGGTTTTGAAAATAATTTGGGAGTCGCCATCGGCCTTTTGGGTCAGGTAGGTCGAATACCTAAAAAATATCTTTTAAAAGAGTTTTTAAGAAAACATCAATTAAAAGATAAACTGATCTGCGTTTTAACCAAAAATTCATTCTTTTTAATAATAAAAAGGGATTCGTGGTCGGTTACGTTTAGGGAAGGATTAGCACCCCTACAACGCCCAAAATTGGTACTTTTTAATTATAAATTGTCTCTATTATTAGAAGAAAAAATTTCGAATATATTTAATTCATAATCTTTTTATTTCAAATTTATAATTTTAAGAAAATATATTAATATATAAATAAGATATTTATTTATTTAGAAATATCAGAAAAGGGCTTCTAGGTACCTTAAGACAGCTCTTTCCTTTTATATTAATAAATAAAAACGTAATAAAACTAAATTATAATTTTTATAATAATTAGTTTTAAAATACCAAAATAGGACATCCAGTTGTATTAAGATTGCCCTTTTCTTTAATATGGAAAATAAATAAACATTATTAAATAAATAATATATATATTTATAATATAGTAAAACAATAATTAAAGTAATGATTTAAAATATATTAAAATAATAAAAATTAAGTAAAAAAATAACTAAACAATGACTATAAATAAATAAAATAATAATAAATGTAAAATTATTTAAAATAATGAACATAACTTGAATCATCATAAAATAAAATTACTAATAGTGTAATTAATCCTTAATTAATTAATCATTGATTAAAATAAAATTTATCAAAGTTTAAAGGCTCTATCTCGAATAAATAAAAACTTTAAGTGCTAAAAATGTAATTTAGCCTTATTTAATTAATCGGATTAAAATAAATGTTAATAAAATTATAAGGTACTAAATCAGTTATTTACCCTAAATATATATATATAAATTGATAATGACTAAAATGTAATAAAATAAAATTGAATGACATAATTAAAAGAATCAAAATTTGCTTCCAGTGACTAATTTGTAATGTTATAAACTCGGAGTGACTGCGGAAAGGGTTTACCCATGATGGAAATTACACAGATACCCTCCCCAGAACGACGTCGTTTGGGGAGGGTTTTAAATACCCTAAACGCCTGGCCCGAAGGGCCAAGCTTCTCATTTGACTATTTCCATTCTCTCTCAAAACGAGAGAACCAGAGTTCTCTCTGGTTTCTCTCTAGTTTCCCTCGCCGGAGGGAAACCGGCAGCCATAGGCCACCGTACTTCGTCGCCGACCACCGCCGCCGGCCACCGTAACGGTGGTCGGAATTCACCAAAAACACCCCCAAAGCGTAGATCTAAACGCCCTAAGACCGATTCCGGTCTTTGTTTTCCCTAAAAGACTCCTAATCGGAGTAAATCTACGAAAATACCTTCGGTATTTTCTGTTCTCCGGCGATGTATAGTGCTTCCGACGGTGGTCAAGGCTCCAAGGGTAAGTTTCTTTCTTCTTTCTTTGCTTTCTGTTTTGGTTTTATGTTGGTTGTGGGTTCGTTGGTAGCTTTCTGTCTTCCCTTTTTTTTTTCTTTTTCTTTGCTGGATCTCTCGTTTCTCTCGTGTTCTCCGTTGCTCTCTGTCCTTGCTTTTTTTTTTTGTTTTGCAGGTTCAGTGGTGGCTTTTATAGCCACCACAGTGTACTCCTCGGACCGGTCCGATCTAGCATCTTTGGTGAGTCACCAAGCTATGGCTGTGACTCACCATAGAGCACTGATTTGGTGAGGCAGCTGGCTTCTGGAAAGCTCGACGAGGTCGGCGTCGTGGAAGCAACAGCGTCGGCAGCAACTGGTTGGACCATCTGTCATCAGAGAGTCGGTCGTCGGGGTGGCTTCAGGGGTGGCGCCGCATCTGGAAACGACTGGCTGCTAGGGTTAGAAACCCTAGGGTTTTCCATCTGGAACCCTTTTGGGCCGTTGGATCTTGCCAGATCCAACGGCTGATGATGTTGACGGCGGCTGGGGGTTAGGGTTTGAAAACCCTAGCTGAAACCCCAAATTGATTCAGGGTTTCCATTTGGGTTTGGGATTTGAATGTAATTGGGCTGTGATTTGGGCTTTGTAATATTTAAATAATAAATAATATTACTATTAATAATAATAATAATAATAATAATAATAATAATAATAATAATAATTTTAATAATAATAATTTAAAATGAAAAAATTGATTTCTACAATGGGAATCCAAATGTGTGGTTGCCTGAAAAAAATCTCTTAAGTCGTGGTAGACTCACAAGTTCCAAACTTTTCAACCTGCTGAATATAATATCGCACGTTGCTTCATCTTCCTCACTTCCAACTATTTCCTTCATTGAAATGCATTCTTTTATGATCAATTGTTTGAGTGTAGACAGACCCTGCACTGCTAGACATGTATCTAAGCATTTCATTCCTTTGCATTTCCACACCTTCAAGGTGGTGAGATTTTGAAACGATGCTAAGGATGATCCTAGGCTCATCAGATTCCAACAATTGTTAACTTCAAGAGTTTCAAGGTTGGGTAGAATGCAGTCCACTTGTACGCCTTGCTTCCATAAGTAATGTTTTAGTTTATGAAGCTGTCAGTTCTATTTTTCTAATTGTTGACAGTGTCCTATCATACGTCCCCTTATTACCAGTATCTCCTTCGGTATAGAATAACTCTTTGATTTCACAAACAGAGATACAAAGCTCTTCTAGATTGTAAAATCTTTCAAGGAAAGAAATTTGGAAATCATTAACTAATTTAGCACAGTTGCCTTCCACCCTAAAAGCTTTTATTTGATGGAAAAGGTTGTTTGGCAATTGACCACCACTTATCATTGCAATGTAATCAGCACCGATTTGCAGACGTTGTAGTTTAGGGATGACCTGAAAACCAATCAAAAACAATTTTGGAGTCATTATGTTCATCTTCCTATATTGAGATTTAATATTTTAATTTAAAATAAAGCAGAACATATAGGGTGGGATCGAGAGGGTTTATACCTTTTCAACCACGAAAAGTGGTGGTTGGGAGTCAAGTTGTTGGTTGTGAGTGATGAGTTGTGTACCAAATATCTTCATTTCCCCACACTCGGCTGCTGTTACCTCTTTTAACATTGGCCACTTTGTGGTATGCCTACCCGGGTAGAAACATTTGCATTCTTGTAGCCACCAAAGCCTAAGGTAGGACAGCTTATCAAGCTCGAAAGTGACAGTAGTTTCCGAATCCAATCCTTCCTCTACTTTGGAAACAATCTCCTCCACTCCACAGTTAAATATTGCAAGATCACTGAGTTGTGGGAGGTCTCTGGCTACGGAGGCCGGAAATACATTCTTCAGACTCTTACAAAACCCCACATGTATTTGATGTAGATTTTTAAATGAAAAAATGTCTTTGGGACCGTTTTTCCAAATATATTTCAAGCTTGATAATTTTGTAATGCTGATTACTCTTAGTTTGGGAAATGAATTTGGTGGAAATGGGTTCTCCCATATCATCTTCAACTTTTCCAAATCGCGAGCCCACACTCTCTCCAAACTGGGAAATGAAACCTGCACTCAACATGTCAAAATAATGAAATTAAGTGCTAGCGCTACAAATACATATATGAGTGCGCGTGTGTTTGCAATTGTGTATATATATATATATATATAATATATATACATGATACAAACTTTCGTGGAAGTTCTTTTGTGGACCGGATCATCTTCAATTATGTATTAAATAATATGTTATATTTATTTATATTTTGTATTTAATTTAAATTTTATATAATGTAATATATGAAAATATTTTAATGATATCTTATAAAAATATTAAATCAGTTTACTCTATCATGATTTGATAATACATAAAAATCAGGAATTTAAGAATGCTAAAAATAATAATTAAGCTACCTTATTGTCGAACAGAACATGATTAGAGAAGCATTGGTTGGCTTTCATTGAAGATCTGTATATGAAACCCTCCAATTCTGGACAGTTGTATATCCTCAGTGATTTCAAGGTCGAAAATTCAATAACTTGAGTTTGGTAGTCGGAACAAAATCCAATCAAATGCGTAAGACCCTTTAGCTCTAAAGACTTTAACCGAGGAAATAATGATAAAGTCATAGTAGCTTGAGCTTCTTGTTCTATTTCCGCCATGAAAATGATCTCTCTTAAACAATAGCACCCAATGATCTCAAAGTTTGTGAGATGCACTAGACATTTAGCCATAGAAAATGAGAACAGGTGTTTTAAGCTTCCACAAACCTCGATTTTCAATGTTGTCAACTTCTGATAAGTGCTGAAAGATGAACTCGAAAGTTGGTTGTGCCATACCCTTGTAACATTAATCGACTTCAGCCACAAATTCTCCAAGTAAGGGAACGATATCTACAGCCATACAAATGATTTCAGGAAATATTTGAAATAAAAATTTAAAGGACATTGAATTGTAAATACCTTTTCATTGAAAAGTGGCAACTCATGTTGAGGTAATGAGCTGGTAGCACCGGTTTCATGTTGAGCGCAAAAGCTAATGAGCTTAGGAAGATCATGTAGTGTTAGGGACTGTAGTTGAGGAAATTCATATTCATCATTAATAATGTATTCAGTATCAAAACCATTTTGGATATGTAGATTCTTCAAATACGGTATGCTTTTCTCATCTGTTAACTCCTGCAATGCTATCTTCACACCTTTGAGTTCACCCAAATGTAAATCTTCAGTTTTTTTCAACAACTTCTTAATTCCAAGATCCAAATCATCCATGCCTGTGGTTAGCCTGAGTTTTAGGGTTCCTGAATATTGGTACTTGCGAAACCGCTCCCACTCCCATTCCTCTCCTATGAAAATCTTGTATCTTTTCAACTTCTGCAACTCATGAAAGAAGTCGTGTGGTGCCGCCTTAGCATCTGGGATTTGAACTTCTAAAGTGGATAAACGAGAGAGTGCATGTAGATCAGCAAGAGTTGCACTTCTTTGTCTCCAATGAATAGAAGTCCCACCCATATATAATTCTTCTAATCTTGGCAAACTTGACAACACACCGTCTGAAATTGTTTTGAGCTTAGCACAGTGACTCACGTCTAACAACTTTAGCATCACCAGTTGCCCAATTTCTTTTGGTAGAAATCTAATATCAGATTCCGAAAGGCTAAGAATTTCCAAGCTCTTTAGCTCTCCAATAATGGTAATATTATCTCCCAGCTTGCAATAATCTAGGCACAACGTGCTGAGGCTTGTTAGTTGACAAATTGATGAAGGTAAAGAAGAAAATTGCATACTAGCAAATCTAAGACTTTAAGATTTGTTGCTTCCTTGAAGAAGTCATCCGGTAATGTTAGGGAAAGATCATTGCTATACAAAAGGAATAGAGAAAGTTGTGGACAATTCAAATTGTCAGGAAGCCTGATGATAGTAGGATGTTGCAAACAAATCTTGCTGCACTTCTTCATTGACTCCGCATCTGGCCAATCTATTAGAACATCCTCCTCTCTTAAGGCAAACACCTGATTGTCCTTGGAAGCCATTGATTTGGCCACAATATAAGTAAGATCGTGCACATCAAAGAATTCATCATTAGTGTTACTATCAAGCAACAAACAAGATGCCTTCAGGGTACTCATCATTGTTAACAACGAATCCCGTGCTTCTTTCACAGTGTCGACTCCATTAATTAAACCCAAACCAATTTTATATCTCAACAAATCTTCAATGGTAGTATCACGACGCAATAGACTGCAAAGAAGGAAAACCTGCTTGAGGTCTTCACCCCGTAAATGATTGATACTCAATTCAATAGCAGAATATACCTCAGCAGATATCTCGCTAGGGTTTTCTGAGTAAGGCCTTTGTAGCTGTCGTAAAGCCTCATTCCAAACAAATAAACTTTGTTTTTGCAACGCCCTAGCAACTGTTGCAATGGCAATCGACAATCCTGCACATCTTTTGGCTACCTCAATTGCTGTAGATTTCAGCTCTCTATCGCTTTCAAAACTATCCCCTGCCATCTTCTTGAAAAACTCCCATGCTTCTTCGTCCTCTAAATCACCAAGCTGGAAAGTCTTGGTAGCGCCCATCCCATTGCTTAGAACAGTTTTATTTCTTGACGTTAAGAGTATCTTGCATCCTTTGTGTTGACTTCCAAATGGAATTCCGACTTCCGCTAGATCCAGTTTCTTCCAAATATCATCCAGAATAATAAGAACCCTCTCGGTCTGATCCTTCCCTTGAATTAGCCTTTCACGTAATCTAGTGGCTCTTACAACTGTACTCTTTTCTTCAATCCTCAAGCCCGACGATTCTGCTATTTCGTCTCGGATTTTCTGAATGTCAGGTGTCTGAGATACAGTGACCATAACCACTGAATTGAACAACTTAGCCTCCTGGAGTTGTCTTTCAACTTCTTTAACTAGTGATGTTTTCCCCACACCAGGCATCCCGTACACTCCAATCATGCTCACAATAAAATCTTTCAGGGATTCCACGATATCATTGAAAACCCTTTCCCTTGATTTAAAGGCCTCAAAATCTGTATCCACTATGAGTTGTGGAAGATCAAGGTAGCCCACGCTGTTAAATTGACATTCTTTGATAAGCTCATCAAAAGTTGCGGCATCTTCTTCCGCTTTCCTGCTAAGTTTGTGTCGAGACTTGATGTTAGGACAGAATCCAAAGAAGCTCTTGTTGTTTGCTTTGTCTTGAAGATTCTTCACTTTATCCTTCTCTTCACGGATAACCTTGTCCACTCTATCGCCCCAACCCTGAACATCCGCTTTAATCTTCTGCACGTTCCTTTCTGCAACAACAATATCTTGCTGCACGCTTAATCTTTTCTCAATCAACTTCTGAAGTTTGTCCTCGAAATTCTTGACGTATCTCTGGTAGAAAACTAAATATCTGATATGACGTTTTGCTTCATGAAAGATACCCATTGCAGTTTCAGAAGAGATATTGGCAGCAGCACCAGCAGCAATTGGATCCATTTCTTTTTTTTTCTTTTTCTTTGGGGGGTCCGAATGGAAAGCAAAATGAACAATGGATACAATAAAGGAGAATCAAGAAAGAAAATACTGAGAAGAAGCAGGCAAGAAAGAACAACCTTAAAAACAGGGAATGAATGAGACGATGGTTAATAGGTAAAACTTAACGATGAAATGAAAATTGTGCTGAACACTCACTCGGAAAAACTGAATTTGCAATCAAATTTAGTAACCCTTGGGCTGGATGATTTCTTTCATAATATTGAATCAAATGAGGTAGAGAGATGATTAAAAAAAGACTAAGCACTAAGTATGTTTTAGATATGTTTAATGTTTGTTTTATTGTCCAGTGGATGTTTGTTTGCATTTACCAAAAGTCTTGAAAATACCACAGCTCACATGCCAGTCATTTACCAAAAGTCTTGAGAATACCACAGCTCACGTCTATTTGATATAAATTTTTTATCTTTCTTGCTTTGTTTGGTATATAAAATTGTCAGATTCTTTGATAGATTTGTTTATTTTCATTCGATAATTTCGCATGTGGAAGAGTGAGAATGGGAGGAACTTTATGCATTATTACTTGGTGGAAAGTTGGGAGAAAATAAATTTATAAATATTTTTAAAATTATGATATGTATTTTTAAAAATATATGTTAAAATTTTTAGAAATAAATAAAATATTTATCGTTATTTAATAAGTGTTTGTGGAATTACTTTTCTTAGATTGTATATTAAATACTATTCCAAAATGTATATTATATGTAATGACTTTTTCAATATTTTACCTAATTATTTTTAAAAAATATATAATTATAAATATATAATAATAAAAATTATATGTTTAATCAATATAATAGATATATCAAGTAAATTAACAAAATGTATAAATGTAATTATATTAAATTAAAAAAATGTATAAATGTAATTATATTGTTATATGTAATTACTAAACTTTAAATTTATATAAATGTACAAATTGAATTAACTAACATAAAAATAACATTTATTAAATTGATCTCTGCCATTTTATTTTTTATTAATAATGAAATAAATTATTGAAAGATTAAAATGATTAAAATTTTAAAAATAAATTATTATTTTGTGGTTAAAAGGAGTGGTTTTATTTAGAAGTTCTTTGTTTGAGCAACTATTTCTAGGGACAAAGCTATGTGTAAGGTTGGGCACTTCCCCCTAGTTTTTTATTATTAAAAATTATACAAGGAGAAATATGTATTTAGATCTTCAAATTTTGGTTTATTTTGATTTTACCCCTTTTATTTTCTATTGTTAGTTACATATTGTCTCGTTGAAATAGAATTTTGACTCTGTCTCTGGCTGTGTCTGCAAGGCGTGTATCAATATATGTGTTATCAATTACTAAAAAAATATTCTAAATAAATATTATCTTAATTATCTTAAACTATTAAAAAATATTGAAACATAAAGAACTTCTAAATTTATTATCAATTGAACCCAAGGAATAGCTTCGTTGGTTGTAGGTTTTTTTCCATAAGTAGGGGGGTGAGCATTCGATTGAGTGGAGTCCAAAAATTTCAAGTTATTCGAATTGACGAGTCTTATTTTATAATTCAAACTTAACTTGAAATTTTTCCGAGTCGAGTCGAGTTATTCGAGTTTCTATACAAACTTAATTGTAATTATCTATAGTATTATAGTACACTTTTGTTTCAATTTTTTGACTTTCTCTAACCATATACGATGTGTGTGTGTATATATATATTTCATATTCTTTTCACATTACAATGTTATTTAATATATCACATACAATCTAAAATTTAAAAATATATTTACAATATTATATTTCAAAGAAGGTATTTTGTGGATAAAAGATTAATGGGAGTATAAAGGAGTCAAAGAATTGATGTGAAAAAAGAATTTGTAAACAATTGTAGTCAAAAGATTAAATTGAGTAAAATGCAAAGTTAAATAACTAAATTCAAAAAGAGAGTATATTTTTAGTAAAAATATAAGAATTTAAGTTACATAGGTATTCTATAGTGGTAGGGAAGCATGTGGGTTAAATTTGGTCAAAAAGGTACTTAAAATGAAGAATTATTTGAAGAAATATGGAAATCATGCAAAATTAAGGGACTTAATTGAAAAAATAAAAAAATTGTTATCAAAAGTGAAAATGAAAGTACATATGTATTTTATGATGGTTTAGAAGCAAATGGTTCAAATTTGATGAAATTTTAACTTAAAATGAAGGAGGAATTGAATGAATAAGATATAAGGGACCAAACCGCAAATCTGTCAAAATACTCATTCAAAATTTTGGTTTTTCGAGTTACTTGAAATTTTGAAATTTCAAATCGAACTCGAAAATTGAGTTGATAATTTGAGTTGACTCGAATAACTCGAAATTAAAAAAAATTGATTTTTCGAATCTAGACGAGTTTTGCTCACTTCTACCCATAAGATGCATGGGTTTCAAGTAATAATAATTCTATATGTGCATGTAATGTATGAAAAATAAAAATCAGTTATCATCAAAAATTGAAAAATATAAATAAGGAAAGAAAGATCAAGGACTTCTCAAGTCTTAAATCAATTATTATTATCTTTCTTTGATTTTAGTTTAATAAAAAAATTGAAAGTATAAATAAGGAAAGAAAGACTTAAGGATCACTCAAGTCTTTATCGATTATTCTTACTATCTTTCTTTGATTTTAGTTTAGGTTCAGAGAGCATAAGTCCTTCTTAAAATTTGAATCACAATTTATAAGGCCCTTTTTCATTTGTGAATTAGTCGTTAGATTTTTTAAAACATATTAAATATTGTACTTTTAATTTATGATATTTAATTATGCTTAAAATTTAAATACTATTCATGATTTTAATATTTGGTATTTTTCTTATCTAATTAGGTACTTGAACTTATAAAATTTCTAGGGATGAAAATATATTTTCAATAAAAAAAATAATAGAAAAAAATCTAAAATATATGATAATTTCAAAAATTTTAGGTGAGTAACCTTCTCGCTTAAGTCTATCCATCCCTGGTTGTTCTAAACAAGGAGTTAAACCGAAGCAAGAATGAATTTAGATAAAAGGTATAAAGAAAATGCATACTATTTGAAGTCATAACAGGATAGCTAATGGGATAATGCATATGGATCATATGCAAATTGATTAATGCTGAAATTACAACACATACATCTTCTTTTACTATGTACAATGTTAGAATAGGAAACGCAAAATTAATGCATCCTGTGCACATTTTTATAAGCAACAGCCTAAGAGGCATTTCGTCGAATAAGTGGCATTCCTTTGTAGGTTATGAACTGATTCGTATTCGATCGTTATATATTAAAGTACACAAATAATCCCCGATTATAGAGTGATACTTTGTTGAGTCTCTCGACTATTAAAAGTTACAAAATGATCATCAGACTATAGAATGTTGTTTTGCTGAGACCCTCGACTATTAAAAGTTACAAAATAATCACTTGACTATTTAGTATGTTCCAAACTCTTCATTTTTTAAACAATGTAAGCTTGATGTTAACTAAGATATGATAAAATATGAACTCAGAATCTCAAAAATATATCAAATAATTTTAATTGTTCAAATCTATTTTTTAAAAGATTATAATTAAATCTATACTATAAAAATAATTAACTCACCATTGCGTGAAGAGATGTGACGTCCACATAAAAGAATTTTCTATGTTAGCGTGAAGAGATGTGATGTTAATATGAATAGATGAAACTTTACAACTAGGGATGGCAACTCAACTCGAATCCGACGGGTTCCGACCCGATCCGATTCGATCGGGTCGGATTTTTTTAAAAAAATTTCGGGTTTGGGTCGGGTCGGGTTTAGGGTGAAAAAAATCCGACCCGATCCGACCCGAAAATATATATAATTTTATCCTATATATTTAGGGATAATTACAATAATGTCCCTCCATATATAATTTTTTTCAATTAAGTCACTGTTTTCATTGAATAAAATTTTTATTATTATTATTTCGGGTCGGGTCGGGTCGAGTTTCTAAGTCATATATTCGGGTCGGGTCGGGTCGGGTGAAACTTTAATTTCGTCGGGTCGGGTCGGGTCACGGGTGAAAAACCCTTTCTTCTCGGGTCGGGTCGGGTGGCCCAAAAACCCGACCCGACCCGACCCATTGCCATCCCTATATACAACAATTATATCTTTCTCTATTCATAATGTAATTAAAAAATTATTTTTTTTCATAAAAAGTGCAAAATACTCATGGATTATGTGAGAGAAATCGAACTCTTCTTAATCGGTTCTTTTCAATAAAAGGTTTTTTTTTTCAAAATCATCTTGATAGATTAATGTATGTTTTTCTTGATTATTTATTCTAATTATGAACATCAAATTGTTTTAAGATCCTTAAATTTTTAATATTGTAAATAATATTTTCCATCAATTAAGTAATTTTAAAATATGGATAATATATTTTAAATTAATATTTGAAATACATATTTGAAAAGAAAATTAAATTTCCTAAAAGGAAAATCAATCAAAAATTAAAGAAAAGCAAGTCTATACCATTTCACATATAATTGATGTTTTGTCTCATGGATTTTGAAAAAGATATTGCTTTCTTTTTGGGTGTTCAAGTATGTCCTACTTGTGATGGTTTGTAATAATGTCAAAATCAATGATTTGTTTATTAAGTAAAGATATATTAAATTTGAGGTAAATGTTGTTATTCGAATCCACATAAGATGAGATAATATAAGTAACCTTATCACTTGACTAATAAATGTATCTCAACGTTAATGATCTTCTTTAATTATATCATTTGCTGTCAACATCATCCCTAAAAACCCCACCTCAACTTGCCAACCATTGATTACCTTTTAACAGTAGCATCGATTGAGTTTTGTCGACACCATTTTTCGTCAGGCAGGGAAAGATCAGTACCGACTTGGGGGATATTTTCTTCGAAAAGAATTTTGAAATGTGAAGAGTCACTACCAATCATTTAAGGTACGATTGGGAC